CTGACCTTCCTATCTGTGTTTGGCTTCGTGTTGCTGCTCTAGCCTGTCTGACTCTGTCTGTCTTTCTGTGTGCTGGCTGACTTCACCTTCAGGGACTATCTTACCTCTTTGGTTTGCTTTGTCTTTGGTTCTTTAAACCAAGTAGATGTATCTGGTGCCACCTGCTGTTCTCTGAATGAATAACCCTCCCACTTTTTTTGGTGACATAGCAGGATGGGTCTGCACGGCATGACTGGAATAAACTCATGCTATGCATCACGTGCTTCAGATACATTTGCATAGCGTCTTCATCACCGGGTGATTTAGTCATACTAGACAGTATGAGTGACCTTATTAATCCTATAAGGTATGCATGGAACAGAGTTTAAAAAAAAATCCAGAAGTACCCAGAGGTCTGCTTCTCATAATAACAATGTTAAGAAGAAATGTAAGATCTCAAATTTTGCTGCACATGAACATGTTTAAGATGGTCTCTATAAAGTATCTGTAAACACTTGTTTATCTTTCTTCCTCTTCTTCTTTTCAGGATAAGCACCGGAGCCACTTTTGATACCAAGACGGCAGTAGAGGGGCACTAGAGAAGAGCCCTCCACCTCGTGAAGACAGTGTTATTGTTGCACTTATTATTTTTCAGTGTCATTTAAAATGTAACGTGGTAAACCAGACTCATTGTAAGCCACAGTGACCAGTGTAGATGCAGTACACAAAGAGGTTTGTGATGCAGAGTCTGGCTTCCATTTCTCTACATGTCTTTTGGTAAGGAAGCAGAGAACGGCAGTGCTTTAATGCCATTATCTTGAGGCAACAATAATTTTTCTGTTATCATGAGAAAACAAGAAGTTGTTACCTCTTGTAATATTAATCACAGATCAGGAGCACCATGGCAGCATGCATAGATGGCGTCATGACAACTGATTAAGGCTGACATTGTCAGATCAAGGAGTACTGATTACTGATCAACACATCAGACTGTACCAGACTGTACTTCAGGCAGGTATCGCATTGTGCCTTTTTTTTTTTAGAGATAACATCAAGATCATTCCTCCTCATTTATGATTCCCCCCAACAACAGGGTTGGGTACTTAACTTCGTACTTTTATGGATACCAACTAAATAATATCAGTACTATTGAGTACCAATTCACATTAAATCAATCTGTGCCAAATTTTGATACCTGAGAGCGCATCTGCTTGAGAACGCCAAGTTCAGACAGTAAGCAGAAGTGACCCTAACCATTACCGGCTCCGCTGCCTGCAATGCAGTTATGTGAAACAGCCAGGTTTAACTTTAGATGGAAGGTAGAAGCTTAAAAGAAGCCGATAGAAATGCTCCATGGTCGGCTTCTCTGTGCTTTGTGCTTGGCAATCATGCTCCATGGAGCAGCTAGGTTTAGGGGGTGGAAGTGCTCAGATGTCATAAAGCTGCAGGCACCAGCAGAGCTCCATCAGCTTCCCAGCGAGCTGAAACTATCGCTGCAGCACCAATCTGCAGTGATAGTTTCAGCATTTGGTCTATTTTCTTTTGTATTTTATTTTAGAAATTACCAAGTGTCACTGCTGTTTGTGATTATGATTGATTATGTGCCTATTCCACATATTTGTCAGATGTGTCTAAACAGAGAGTGAGAGAAACGAGCAGACACATAGAAAGACAGACATAGGATTAGCTCTAAGTGTGATTAGCAAAGGTTGTCTGCTACATCAAGAGTACCAAAGATAGTTACTGTTGGGTAGCGGCACTGAAGTCCAGATACAAGAACCGGTATCTATTCAAATGTGAATGGTACCCAGTCCCACTCAGCAATCCAGAATCATGACAGTGATCTTTAAGGCAGAAATCAGGTGTGATCAAATGAGCCAGACACTATTTTCCAAGTTCTCCAAAATCATCTTGAGATCTCCAGACAACAAAAGTTGCTTTCTTGTGATAAATGATTTCATTATCTCGAGACATTAGCCTTTTGTTTACTCAAGAATCAAAATAAAGTAACCCATTATCATGAGAACACGAGCTCAAGATAACAAAATAATTTCCTCATGATCTCAAGATAACAGCATTAGAGAGATAACGGCAAGCACGGCTGTTCTCTGCTTCCGTATTTTGGAACCTTTTAAATGATAATTCTGTATTTTTCTTTCTCATTGAATGTATTGTTTGTTTGTACATTTCTTGACCTGTGTTGAAGAAATGCAATATGTTTGAAAGACTCTCCTCTTCATACTGTGCGACGCTGATTTGTGCCTTTTTTTTTAGAGAGTTGAGATGGTACAGTAGAGGGTGATGACCTGCTTAAAAAGCAGGATGAAGCAGAAAAAAGACTTGATGAATATTTAGTCGATGGCAAAGCTGAAACAGTTAAGATTCACAGCATTCTGCCAGAACGAAGAAAATCTGAAAATCCTCATTTCAAGGCAAAAGCAATGCAGCAGAGTCCACTTGATATTGTTTTAAAAAAAGGAGGTGGCTCATGGTTTTTGTGCTGGACCTCACATTTGCTTTTATTTCTGAGTCAGTGAAATTACTCTTACTTTGACCTCCGTCTGCTTATTTTTCAATGTCATTTCAGTTTAATGTTTAAGTTTATGGTCCTGTAATGAAACTGAATGCAGTGTTGTATTTAGCCATTAGATGGCACCATGGAACACACAACTGCCATCCATACTGTAGGAGACATCAATGTGGACATACTGGTATCATCTGCTCTGTTACTGTCATCTGTGTACCTTTTGATTATTGCTATGTTACTCTTAAATCTACAGAGTATTAACTCTTTCTGCCACATTAAATAACCAGGTCCAGAACACTGCCAAAATTAGATTTTACGACTGCCACAAACACAAACTGCTGTACCTCAGAGTCATTTTCACTCCTACAACATACCAAAAGGTTGATGGTCCATTTTAACACAAAGACTATAATGACAGGTTCCTCTCAAAGCGCCACTGTCGGATGAAAAGTCGAACTTCTTTTTCTCAGCAACGTTACTGACAAGTTAATATAGAAACCCTTTTTATCTGAACCTCAGAGGTCACTGACACCTGCTGATCGATCTTGAATCACTATGTTTAACATATTTAGAGTATTTCCTCAGCACCCTTTATATTGTACCAGATCCTCAGATTTTGTGATGTCACTCACTTTGACAGAAATATCACATGGTTGATTTATTTCATCTTTGAGCCAAACCCTTACACACAATGTTCTCTGTTGTCATACAGCATAATGGCGTATTGCAGCAGGATCTCAGGTTCTCCTTAAAAGTCCATCAGAGATGTTCAGTTTGTGCATTTTCTCTTTTTTTAATTAAAAGCCATATTGTTCCGCCAGGTGAAAAGGTACTGGTGCTCAAAATGTAAACATTTGGATATGCTCAAACAGAAAAGATGAGATGTGTAATTGGTCATTTTCTTACTATAGTGAAGCCGTTTAAAGGTCCAGTGTGTAAGATTTAGGGGGTTTAGGTTGTTTCAACCAGCTGAAACTTCATCTGGTTAGAATTCCTATAGTGTTTATTGTTCTGTGTTTTTTTAATGGGAGCTGAATTATCCACAGAGGTCTCTTCCTCTCAAAGACAAATGGACCCGGTGATTTAAACTGGCAGTAGCACTGAATATAGCAGTTTCATGTTACAAATCAGGGCTGCTTCGACACTGTTTGGCACATTGCAGACAACCCGCTAGCCCAGCACCTACTAGTCGGTGCTCACTGTATGTCAGATCCAGACATTTAAAGCAGTCTTTACTGTGAGTTGAATTATCCGTAGAGGTCTCCTCCTCTCCAAAACAAACAAACCCAGTGAGTCAAACCAGTAGAAACACTGATAAAAACAGTTTGACAGTAAAAAAAAAAAAATCTGTGTTTTTTGTGGAGGGGCACTGACTAAGGTGGCTGACACAAAAATACACTTGGCCCTATCTAGAGCCAGTGTTTCCTTCATCCATTCTGGGCTACTGTAGAAACATGGTGATCTCCATAGTCGAGGACCTGCTCCCTACATAGATAGAAACGGCTCATTCTAAGGTAACGGAAACACCACAAGTCTTATTTTGAGGTGATTATACACTAACTCAGTGGTTCCCAACTGGGTCCAGATTTCTCTTCACTCTTTAGTTCAAGGTCCATACTTGTATTTGGCCATGTCTTAAGCAAGTTTGCTGTCTCTGTTAAGTAGCTGTTTGTTATTCACTCACTCTACAGCAGGAAACAGCACTTCAAAGTAAAAGCTCGGTGCTGGAAATCCACTGCACTTAAAAATAAAGTGTGTTTTTTGCAAAGTTGACATGTTAGCAGGTCACTTGTTGTCCATTCAGAATGGACCCGCGACCCACCAGGGGAACCACTTAAAAGAAAAAATACTTACCATATTATACTCCATTTCTGCCAATAAACCCCCCTAAATCCTTCACACTGGAGCTTTAATGAACAATACAGTGAATGTGCTGTTAATTTATTCTGCAAAGAAAGAAAGAAAAGAAAAGAACTTGGAACAACTGGTTTTATGCCTGTGAAGGAATACATACGTGTATTGTTTGTCAGATGTTCATTAGGCAAATGAATAAATGAAGTTACACCAGTCCAAATGTGTTTGTGTGTCTCTATCAGTCTTTGGAGGTGAGTGCAACGTTTAAGACACTAATTCCTGTCTGGTCATTCATCACTGATAAAGACAGTGTAAATCCCTCGCCATAAAGACTGGAGGCCAATGTTCACCGGGGGGCCATGGGTAGAAAGTGTTTTGAGTATTGGACTGCTCAGATTTTGTGTTCCAAATTTATCTGGTTGTTGACAGTTCATTAGTTCAATCTTCAAACTATGACCACACGTCAATACACTGAGCAAACAACTTATTTCATAACATTTAACTGTACTAATCAGTAGGTAATCTTATAAGATAAATAGTAACGTGAGTGTTAAATCTCCAGTTCATCAGATTCTCCTCTCCACAGGTGTATATATTGTACATGTGTCTACACAGCAACCTTGTTCATTGTGTCTGTCAGGTCCCAAGGTGACGAGGTGAGGGTGTCCGACTCCGATATCAACCGTCATTGGTGCGATATCTCTATGATCCCGACCACACCCATAGATGTCGCCGGGGATGCCAACGACTCAGAGCCCGGAGCTACTGTCAAATCCCTCATTAAGTCTTTTGATACTGTTGGACAGAGTGAGCACCGTAACACACACACTCACACAGGGAATCCCAACATGTTTGTGTAACTCTAGAGAACAACAGCTGGTAGATTTCTGTCATTTCTCTGCCGCAAAGTCATGCTCAGTTAAGCAGGGCTGTGTGTGGACTTAGCTGACCTCTATGACAGCGTCAACAAAAACTGACACTTGAAGGCACCATTAAAGTAGACTTTAAAAGAGATAGATAGATTTAAAAGCCAGAACAGTAATTAGTAAAGAAAAAAATCCCTGTTAAATAAAAGCCAGACTAAAAGCTGGAATAAACAGATTTAAAAAGACAAGAATAGAATAAAAATGATAAAATAAAATGGATTCAAAAGCCACATATTTTTAGTATTCATAATAATAAGATAGTTTAACAAACTTTGACTAAAAGTTGGATAAAATAGATTAAAAAGATGATGCAAAAAATACAGTGAAATGTATTTAAAAGCTATAATATCAACAAAAATAGGGCCAATAATAATATTAATGATAATAATTATTATAATTATTATTTTTATTATTTTATAGTTAAATAAAAGATCAAATAGATTATAAAGACTGATAAAAAATAATTGATTTTAAAACTATAATAATAAAGTTAAATAAAAGTCAGACTAATATTCAATAAAATAGATGAAAATAAAAAATAAAAATGATGACAACAAAATATAATTGATTTAGTTATATAATAATAATTAATTAATATAATTATCATAGTAATCATAATAAGAAGAATAAAACCATTAAATAAAAAAAATTTAAAAAATAAAATTAATGAGAGATAAATTTTCATCATAATATTAATACAAATAAAATAACTGATAAAATATGTACTCAATAAGATTGGAATTACATTTTACAACATTATTACAATAAAGTAAGTGATTAAAATTCAGACACTGAGTGTATAAGCAAAGAATAAGTAATCAAGACTAAGAATCTGACCAGAAGATAAATGGCAACTATGGGAAGTTTTTGAAACTTGATATACAAACAGATTTCAGATAAAACAAAAAGAGGCAAAGAGGGCACTGTATTAATTGAGCTATACTGAAGACCTGTTACTGCAGACATGTTGTGTGTCATTTTCTGTTAGTTCTCCTTTGGCACAATAATTAACGGGTGTATTATCTGGTCTTTCAGATGGACCAGGACACACAGTTCAGATGCATTCCTCCTCGAGAAGCCCGCTGAGTGGGATCCCTGTACGCACCGCACCTGCTGCTGCTGTCTCCCCTATCCAGGTATACACTCTGAGATTTTCCTTTTAAAACATAAAATAAATACCTCTGATAAGTGACAGACTGCTTCAGACTCTGATGTGCTGAGATCTGTGCTCTGTTTTATGTCCTTTTAGAGACACACGTACATAAAGCCACTGTCAAAAACTTTGGAGAAAAGAATTAATCATGGAGAATTCTCTCATCATCATGGTATGTAATGTATGCATGTATGGTATGTATGCATGGTCTGGCGACTTGTACAGGGTGTACCCCGCCTCTCAACCAGTGTCAGCTGGTATAGGTTCCCTGCGACCCCCAAAAGGATACACGGTTACGGAAAATGAATGAATGAATGAGGATTTTGTCTTTGAAAATGATGCTGCACAATAGAAACATTGAAACATCACAGGTATGGTTTTAGCTGGACATCATGGTGTTTAGTTTACCTTTATGTACAGTACATACTTCATTTTGCAGTCATAAAGAACAAGCGATGGGCTTCACACACTGCTTTTAGGTCAAAGGACAGCCGGACTATTATCTCTGAAAATGATGCTCAAGAAATGATTAAGGCTGAAATGTCTACATATAGACAATGAAATGATAAGATGGATAAAGAGATGCAATCATCCGACATGGAACATTTTATGATTTTATTCTTAGAAAAGCAAATACTGTAAATGTGGTGACTGAGCTCTGAAAATGTCGCCAGCCGTCTACAGTCAACAGGTGTTCCAGCTTCGATGAGTGCACTGAGAAACACACAGTAACTTGAGCGTCAAAGCAGCACAACCAGTCCTAAAGTTATAAATATTAATTTGCTTTCCATTTCTATTTCTTCCATTTTTTCCATGACCTTATTTTTGTTGCAGTCCCGCCTTACAATTCTGAAATGCATTTTACAATGTGTTTTACAAGGTTTATTATGACTTCCTCCTCACATTCATTCTCCTGCCTCCTTCACTCCCCCAGATAAGATGTCAGGCTGCGGGGAAGACCTGAAACCTAACAGCCTGATGAGGAAGAGCCCTTCTTTAGAGTCTGTAATCAAAGCCCCCTCCTCCCTCAGTGGCCGCACATCATCCTTCAGCTACAACCGAGGCAACAGCAAGCTCAGGTGGGCCGACCATGACTGTCTCCAATGATTCACTCTGACATAATTCTATTTGTTAAGATGTGCAGGTTTCCTTGGTGACTAGTTTTAAAGCTTGGGCAAGAAGAAATCTGGAAAAGGCAAGCAAACAAGCAAACAAAAAATGGCAGTATTTGAAAATACAACTCACTGTCATAAGCCCCTCCCACCAGACAAAAACAGGCAGTTTATTGTAGAGTTGCACACAGCACATTCACTTGCGCCACGTTCTATTTTTCTGTTCATCAGACCATAAATGAGACAAGAATTAGCTGCTAGCCACCCCACAGTTCCTCCGTCTCACTCTCCGCCGCTGTGGACTGCTTCCCTGGGAAGAAAGCAGGCAGCACTTCAGGAGAAGGAGCTTTGGTCTGAGGCTGGAAAGGCTCAAATTCAGCCAGCACAAACCTCCAAGTGCTGGATGTCACAGCAGGCTGGTGGCCAGCGGCAGTGCGGGGTCTAACCTGTGTGACAGCAGCAACAGAAAGTTTGCTGGGGCTGTCCCAATGCCCTCTCTCTGAAATGACCTGTGATTGGCCAAAGTCTCTGGTCACAGGCTGGATTTTCTAAAGCCAAAAGGCAGAGCCAAGAGGAGGGGCAGAAGTTTAGTTTTCTCTCAGACCATTTGAATTACAGTATGCTCAAAGGTTATTGTGGGAAGTTTGCCCAGTGATGCCAAAATGAAACTGCCTACCCCAGCTTTAATCAACTCTTACTTTGGAAAAAAAAGACAGAAATGCATATTGAATGTTGTGAAACCAGGAGTTAGTACTGTCTTTAACACATTATCAAACATGCCCTGAGCACTGCAACAAAACAGACATGTTCACAAGTCATAGAACTTCAAGGCTAATTTTTAATTGCACAAGAAAAACTCAGAAGTTCCCATCTTGATAACATGTTTTGGTGAAAATCTGTTAAATATTTAAGTCCAAGTTGAGAGACTTTGGAGTTGTACGAGTTTTATAGCCGACAGTGTTGACACAGATGGCTTTAACACAGTAAATGAGTATCCACTTATCAGAAAGGGAAGAGAGACATGTTAAACAAACATGCTTTCATCTTCTGGCCTCTGGCATCACAGGGCTATCATATCCGTGTACAGACCGCTCCTCTTTGTGTACACTCAAAAATGACTGATTGTGGCACTCCATTTAGTTCAACTACCATTGCGACAGGCTGCATTTGAGGCAGAGATGACTCAGTGTTTGAGTTTATGTTTACGTGTTGTCACAATGAGACAGTAGAGTTAGTTGAAGGAGCCAAGTACTTGGTCATCATCACACTGGACAACACCCTAAGCCTCAACCAACATCATGTACTGTTGACATTAGTAATTACTATAGTCAGTATTATAGAGTGTGCCAGGGCTGATGTCAAAACCCGGAAGTTTGGCATTGCGCTGGTTCCCGGAAGAGAAAGTGAATGTGATTTTTGCACTGCGTTTTGGATTATGTCAGAAAATAAGCTCTGTGGTTAACACAAGTTTATGATACTTACAGGTTTTGTTCAGCGAGATAATCTTTACATATGAACACCTTTCATACTGCATTTGAAGCTTAAATGCGATCGCCAGAAGTAAAAAGCTAACGTTAGGCTTTAACGGACTACATGACTACTCCATGGTCGCATGACTCTTGACGTCACCGCCACTAAGCTTTCAACTGATTTCAGCCGCTTTATTTTAAAAACATTGTATAATTGGGAAATCGGACTGTTTAAGCTAAATAAGAAGCTGTAATGGCGGACTGCCAGCACTCTTGCCTGTTCGGGGGTGATGACGTTTAATGTCCCTGACAGGGTTTGTAGTTGTATTGAGCAACTTGTTAGCAACCGCCTTTTTTACGACACGTAAAAGCTTCAAACTTCACAAGTAGGGTATTTACTGACGTGTTTTATGTCGTAGAACAAAACCTGAAACTCGCTTAAGCTTTTGTTAAGCACAGACCTTATTTGAGGCATTTTACCAAAATCCCATTCAAATAAACGTATTGACTTTTAGACGAGAGAACCGGAAGTGCTAAAAGCGCTAATTTTTGCCCCATACCCACTTGGGATTACTGGCACACTCTATTGGCGCCATCTGTCTGTCTGTTTGGAGTTTTTAAAGTGGGGTTGTATGAGGTACTTATCCACAGTCAGTGTATCAACTACGATCGATGGCGGTCAGCACACTGCTCGAAAAAGCAGGCAGGATCAACGCCATGAAAGCTAAGCAATGTTCTGCTGTGGTAAAATGTATTATAACCACCTACAAAAATGTAACATCAGAATGTTCTCACTGCTTTACTGTGCTGTCAGACAGCCTTTTTCCAACGGGGAACTGAAGCCGTTATCTATGCTCTCTTCAAAGCCACCAGACTCCTTTGACAGAAACAGTAATTTTACCTCGCAGAACACCGGAGTTGCTGGTGTTGCCACCTCCATCAGTTCGTCTGTTTGTGTTATTGTGTGACTTTGGTGAATCTGAACTAACTCTTTAAAACACCAAAATCACACAATAACACAAATGAACTCACCGTCTGAGGCAGCGGTAGACCAGCAGCTTTTCAACATTTGTATGTGGACCCCATGTGGTTAGTAAATGAGCTTAAAAAATGAGCCCTGTATGAGATTGTCCATGGGTCCCATAATGGCCCCATGCCAGTAGCCCACATAGGTGGGTTTACCCAAGCGGGCTCCATATGGGTTATGCTACAGCTACCTGGGTACCAAGTGAGTATGGGGCAAAAATGAGCATCTTGTCTTGGGCCCACTTGAGAGAAACCACCCATGTGGACAACTGGCATGACGCCATTATGGAACCCTTGGACAATCTCATATAGGGCCCATTTTTCATCTCATTTACTACTCACATGGCTCCCACATACAAATGTTGGATGGGTCCTGTGTTCTGCAAGGTAAAATTATTGTTTTTGACAAAGCAGTCTGGTGGCATTGACAACAGTGATATAACAGCTTCAGTTCCCTGTCAGAAAGGGCTGTCTGACGGCAAGGTAAAGCAGTGAAAGCATTTTAAAAATAGCATACACATGATAGTTTGTAGGTGGCTAAAATATGTTCTGCTGCTGCCCCCATCCTCGGCAGTACATTGCTTAACTTCCGCTACAGTGCTCCTGTCTGCTTCTCCGAACGGGGGGTGTGCCCACTGCCATCCATCCCTTAAACATATATTTTTAATCTAAATGTGTGTGACTGTATTGCAGACCTTTGCACAGACCATCTCTCTCAAACAGCAGATCAGCAGCAGTGCATGACCGTGTTTGGTGTGGTCTCGGGGTTATGTTATGGCGGCTGTACCACCGCTGATGAGCACTCGCACTCTCTGCCCCTGCCCTATGTTTGTTTGGACAGGGTCTTCCTGTTTCTGGCCTTGTGGTGCCTCAGACAGAGAAATAATGAATTCAACAGCAGAGCTGCTCTGACGTGTGAAATGTTTACCATGTTCAGAGCAACGACCGTGTCTCGTAGACTTCCCATGGCCCCAGCTCCAGCAGAAACCCCAGGGAGCGGACCCTTTGAATGACACTGCAGATAGGCATTTAACCAATCTGTTGTACTTCTCATAATTTCTGTTTTCTTTCTCCTGTGTGGTTTACAGACGTGCAGCCAGTGTTAAAGTCTGTATATGAATATTTGAGCATGAGGGCATGGAGGTAGAAGAGGAAAAGTAGGAAGGAGGCCAAAAAAAAACCTGTGCTTAATCTTTACATCCCACACTTAGAGCCGCTCTGAGCTGTATACAGTTGGCTGCACTTTAATGTTGAGCAATGCCTGCACTCTAACACAACAACACTTAACTGCAAATACGCTTTGATCTCATTGTAATAATGAAAGAGCAAATAATAAAGTTCCCTTTACTATGGAACTCCCATTAGAGGATTCATTCATGCATAGTATTAATTAATACTACAAAGTATTGTCATATTCTCCATCATGCAGACAACATTCTTTGCACATCATTGTAAGATATCATCCTTTCATTATTCCTCTATGTCTACTAGGGCTGCAACTAACAATTATTTTAATTGTCAATTAATTCTTAATGAATTTAGTCATAGAGGGTCAGTGTTTAACATCAACAAAACTTTATCAAAACAAATGGTAACAAACTCTCAAGATAACTTGTGCAGTATAAGCCGAGTCTCATTTATGCAGTCATATGTTCAGTACTTCTTCCCAAACACATGCAGCTTCACTAAAACATTAGGAGTTTAATCACACATGCTTGCTCAGGCGCGCTACTCATCCATGCATGAGACTGTTTATGCAGAAGAATTTCTTTAATAAGTTGACTTAACGGTTTCATTATCATAATAGCTTCTGTGCATATGATGTCATACGTCGGTGTGCTGTCCAGTTAGAGGGCAGGCAACTGGAAGCAAAGACCACCAAAACTGCACAAATTAACTTTGCATGAAATTTGACTTGACTAATCTGTACCGCACTTTGGGTTGCCTTTGGGTAGGAAATGTGCTATATAAATAAATTCGCCTGGCCTTGCCATGGCAAGTACGTACGATTTGTGCTGTTTACGGCTGTTCCAATCGATCAAATCGGGGGAAAAAACAAGGGTCACTTTAATTCCTGAAAGTAAAAGGATGTAAAAGGGGGAGTAGTAAAAAGAAAATAAATAGAAACAATTGCAGATGTGGATCAGGAACCTCCGTCTTCAGCTAATTTCAGTCATAAACAATAAAGCATTGGGTTAAATATGCCTCGAGATGGATGTATTTTCAATGTACTGGGACAATTTCTCCAAGTTTTTAGCCGCAACCCAGATTTTTAACAGTGTTAAGGGATAAGTTGAGCTAGAGGGTTGAAAGTAGTGGCTGAAGGGTGCCCTTTAGTTCACCGGGTCGAGCGTGCGCCCAGTATAGGCTGAAGGCTTTGCAGCGGCCCAGGTTTGAGCCCAACTTGCGGCCCTTTGCTGCATGTCTCCCCCATTCTCTCTTTCCCTGTTCTATAATAAAGGTGGTGGACCTCAGAAAGCAGCTGGTCTTCCCAATAGAGATCATAACAACTACTCTCAGGCCAGATATTGTCATGTGGTCTGCAGGGGAAAAGAGGGTCGTCATTGAGCTTTCCATCCCCTTGGGAAGAGGACATGACAGCAGCCCACGAAAGGAAGCACCTCAAGTACTCCGAGCTGGCAGCGGAGTGCAAAGAGGCTGGCTGGAAACCCAGGGTTTACCCCGTGGAGGTTAGATGCCGGGGCTTTGTTGGCAAAACAGTAGTCCGATTACTCCACGGTGCTGAAATGGCGGGGTCAAAACTGTGGAAGGCCATGAAGGAGCTAGGAGAGGAGGCCGAGAAAGCCGAGAAAGCTTCTGGCTGTGGCTCCGGAGAAAGGACAATGGCTGGGGGACAACACCTCAATAAAGGCAGCTGCAGGGGGTGACGGGGAGATGTCCCCATCTGCAACTGCCCCCTGCCAGGAGATGAATTGCAATACGGGTTGAAACCTCAGTGAATGGCAGCCTCCAGCTGACGACCCTGCAGCTGACCTTGTGGCGCCAGTGGAGGTGCGACAGGGCAAATGCCTAAGCAGGAAACAACACGTCACCTGTACAAAGAACAGGCAAAAAGCCCTAAAAAATAATATAAACAAAAGATAATAGTAGCTGAAGTTAGCTAATGTTGCCAGTAACATTAGCATGACAGCGGTGCATCAATGTACAGAGTTGAAATATTATATATAAAAATTCTGTCATTTCAGTCATGGTTGTGGGAAAAAAATCACTTTTCTTCATACTGCATGGATCACATCCAACATGAGTTTTAATTTTCTGACCATACCTGCTGCCTGCAGGTTTTATTACTTTCCTCTTTTTCCAATTCACGCTGTATATGGATCGATTACGTCCTGCCCTCCATCTGAATTCAAGAAGACTGATTATATTTATAAAATGTTAAGTAGTACATTTCTAGGTTCCTGAAGCACCTCTGTCGGAAATCTGGAATGAATCATATGTTTTTACATCAGGGCCACTTATGAGCTCGTTTCAGACATGGCGGTCAAATTATTTCCTGCAATGGATTTCCATCTGGAAACATGCTTATTTAATTGAACGCATTCTTTTGCTATGAGACTTAGAGAGCTTGCATAATTATGGTTTTTATGAAGCTTCCTTCATGTCCACGCGCACTGAAGTTTGCGAATGTATGTGAAGATAATAATAGTTTTATTGGGTAATCATCATACTCCCAATGACATACTGTAACCATCCCTCTCTATCTCTCTCTCTCTCTGTGTGTGTGTGATTGCGGTTTGTGTTTCCCTGGTGACAGTGTGGAAAGAAAGGACCCCTTGGCTGCACTGGCCCGGGAGTATGGAGGATCTAAGAGGAACGCTTTACTGAAGTGGTGCCAGAAGAAAACAGAGGGCTATCCGGTAGGGATCACAGGCCAGAGACCTCTCTCAAATACAATTCAGGCTCCATTCACTTTCACACCCTGCTTTTTTCTGTCCGAGGGTTTTATTTTAGTCTCACACTCTTCAAATATTCATTTAAAATTGAGATGACAGCTCCCACTCCCTCCCTCTATATTGCATCAGTGCAGCATTGCTCAGTTCATGCCCTCGGGTTTGGTGGTTATTCCTTATATTTTTCTCAGCCATCAGTTAGGTGTTAGACTGTAGTGGCACATTACTGTGTTTGCAGACACACTATTCACCCGCTTGTCATCTCACTGGGGATGTGAAGTCACCATGGCACCACGGTAATGGAAACTATGATGCGAAGCACTCAGTGTTACGGACACGCTGGATTTATACATGTGTGTATTTATATTGCTTTGCTTGTTTTTATGCATGTGCATGTGTTTATGCATTGTTATTGTGTCCCCATCTGTGTTCCCTGTGTCCAAGTGCTGACAATCACCTGGCATTAGCAGCTCCCCTAATATCCATTTTAAGGAGCCCATTAAGCCCAGTGGGATTAGAGATTTGCCTATGTAATCATCGTGTTTGGGTGCCAGCATGCCAGCTAGCTAATGCTAAAACTCTTGCCAGCAGGCAGACTGGTCCCAACCTGCAACCTCCACTTTAGGAGGAAAAGGAGTCATTTGAGCTCTTTCAGCACTGTAATAGAAGATTAATTACAGTTATAGACATAAAAGGCTCTGCTTCTGTCCTGTTTGTGGTTGTCTTTCAGTCTAAAAGCACGGAGCTCCGGCTTGACCAAGTTTGAAAAAGCATGTGCTGATAACTGCTAAAAATAGACCCAGTCTTCCCAATGATAAATGGTCTGAATGATGGGATGAGGTGTTAGATCAATAGTCCCTATTTCTCAAGCGCAGTGCTGCTCAGTGAACTTTGAGTCGCCCTCCTATCATTTGAGGCAAGCTGTTTGATGGTCACACGCGGTGTGTGTTGGTGAAACACACCCAGCAGATCCTCTGTGATGGAAATATGTGACCAGATGAGATAAAAATGTTGCTGACCAGGAGACAGTCTGAAGATCTGCGTGATAAAACAGACTGCCATGGCTCACATTGTTTAGATTGGTTTGGTTTGACATGAATCTTTGGGCGTCACTGGTTTGTCATGCAAGGTCACTGGTTCAGTACCCATTTTCACCAGAGCTCCAGAGGAAATGGAAACTGAGACCGCCCCTAACGAGAAACTCCTATTAGTCAACACTGTAACGTGCAGTAATGCAGCTCATTCAAAACAAAGACGGTTTCTAAAAACACGTTTTTAAAAGGGATTAAAAAGGCTTATTAAATTAAAATTAAAATTAAAAAGTCAAGTTGTCTGATGTCTTCAGGTTGTTAATCCTCATAGGACGTCCTCAACACCTCTCTGCTGCCTAATACTTACACCCTGCCACCAGAAGACTTTGAAAAGACTTTTAAAAGACCAAAGTCTGACACCCTCTCACATCTAAAGACAGTGTGAGTGTTTAGTCATACACTATAAGCTTTTATAAGACTGGGGATCTTGCAGCATCACTATTATCAGGTTAGTCTCGCCACCAGACAATCAGAGATCTCCGCCTTCTGATAGTCTGGGGACACTCCTTTCTAAAGTGTGTTTAACACACCGGAGAAAACGGCCGGCAACAAAGCAACGCCTCTTGCATTTTTTAAAAGGACACGCCCTCCCGGAAATGTGCGCTCCCCCTTTTCTCGTCCACAAGGAAACAAACACACAGAGAGCTTGAAAATGGATGCCGAGAGATTTAACTCTGTTTTATCAAACATGTACTCAGTCCACAAGATTGTGGAAATGAAGGACTTACAGCGACTTTCTTTAAAACTTTTAACGCAGTTGGACTATGTTTACGAGCACAAGAGTTCAGCGAGCCACCGAAGGACCGCCCTGCAGATTTACTATTGGTTCTGCAACGTAGGGAGTTTTTTTAAACTCTGAAATTGTATCCGCCCATCTAAACACAAAATCAGGGAGAAAGACATCAGTCTTTAGTTAAGCAAAGCGTCTAAAGACTGACTTGTAAGTCTATTATCAAGTCTACACTTAGATTCCTTTTCAGATTATTTCCCATCCTGCTCCTGGTGGGAAATATTGCGCCTAACTCCCTTTAAGAAATACGACATATTAACAATTCCTTACAAAAAGGCATAACTAAAAAAACACAAGATATGTCGACGGTATTCTTGTCAATTTAGGGGCCAGGGGCCGTATTCACAAACATTCTCAGAGAGCTCCTAACTTAGCATAAACAAGATGTGATTGGTTGTCATGGACACACCCTTTTGTGAGTCTACAAGGTGTGGACACCCAGTGGAAATGAAATGAACTGCTGACTGTGAAAGTGTTGTCAGTGTCAGTAGGCCCGTTTCCACTGAAGAAGTTCCTGGTACTATTTGGGGGGCAGGAACTACTACAGGAACGTCCTCTCGTTTGGCCCTCTCAACCGCTGTGTCTCCACTGAGAGAGCAGAGTAGGAGGAAGGTTTCTGTAAAGTTACCGGGCTCTGGATGTGACATAATTGTTGCGCGACCATTTACCGGGGCAACATAGGGACGCCGTTAGCTGATAGCCCTTAGCGGTGTCTGTAATAACTCACTAAATGGTCCGTGAAAAAAAAAATTCTAGCGGATGTCTTAGTTACAACATGATTAAGCTATCTGGAGTAGTTTCATGTTGTATCCGACAACAGGAGGCTTTTAACAGATGACGTCCTGATGTTAGCTTTGCTGCTGCTGTTAGCTGTCCCTGTCAGCTGCAGCCACTGATGCTTTCTAGACATCGTGATTTCCCAAAACTGAATAAATACCACACATAGCAACACAAAACTGCTTTGCTAGCTCAATCATGTTGTAACTAAGATATCCACTGGAAAGAATATTTTTTTCACGGACCGTTTAGTGAGTTTTTTTTACATGGCGGAGGAAGCTATATGAACAAGCTAACCCTCGTCTGCTGAGTTTTAAAAATGCCGGCTGTTTTGTTGCTTTCTGTTGACATCACATCCCTCCTTGAGTATATCCAATCAGCACCAAGTAATCCCCAAGCCCCAGCTGGTAGTCTTTTGGGGCCGTTCTGAGTACCTACCCCGAGGTAGGGACTTGTTTAGCCCCTGTAAAAGTTCCGGAACTCTGTCCTTCGGGGGTGGTTCCTGCGGTGGAGACACGCACCACCGGCCCCAGTCCCGTAAAATTACCCTGAAGTTCCTGCGGTGGAGACACGCACCAACGGCCCCGGCCCCGTAAAATTACCCCGAAGTTCCTGTGGTGGAAATGGGCCTAGTGTGATCACTGCTGATGGAAGGTTGAGACAGCCTCAAGTCATCACTGCTGCACTGTTGCATTTTATTTCTGGCCTTCCGCGTTAGGTGGGAAATGTGTGCGTATCCCTGATGACATCAACCGCACATATTATTCCGGCATGATCTAATCTGTTGCATTTTATTTACTCACTGTCTTTCAGCATTTGGAGAATATTTCTCTGACCTCTTTGTATTTCCACCATTTTCTCATCTGATTAAGAAACTCTTACTCCTCTTAAAAGTTCTCCTCCCTGCTCCTAACAGTTTTTCACATTAGGGGTTATTTTAAGGTTAATAATGAATAACTTTTATCTTTACAAGGACCTAGTCTTAACTTTAAGAGGAAATTCTAAGAAAACGTCACAATTCTAAGAAGTCTTAGTACAAGGAAGCTTTGTGAATATGGCCCCAGATTATTAACTTAAGTTAATGTATTAATGCTACATTGTAAAAATACTCTGTTACAACTAAAAGTCCTGCATTTGAAATTATAAAAAGTAGTTAAAGTACAGAACTACAATCTGAAAAATGTATCAGAAGTAAAAGTATTTATGATGCAGAATCACCCCTCCCTGTTATGTTGTTATATACTGTATTACAGGGCTCACATTTAAGCAGCTGTAACCAGAGAAGGTTTGCTTGCTCAAGAGTTAAATGATTGTTGGGTATAGTTTAAAGGAAAAAATTGCCACCTTTTATGTCAGTGATAACATTTAAAAAGAAGAAAGCCGTGAGTAGGACAATGAATTACTTTATTGTACGGAGCAAATTACAACAAAGCACCAGCATAGACGACCTACCACCGAAAGAAAAATTGTCACTATACAGTATCACGAAAACTACCTGTCCTATTTTTTCTCATTTTAATTGTCTTATCTCATGATAAGAGAAGATATTGTGCACAGATAAATACAGGTGTACCTTGAGATTTTGGCTTGACCTTTGAAAACCACTGACCTAGAGCACGCCCCCTGACTACCCAGAGGCAGAGACTAGAAATCCATAATGAAATAGCCTGTAGTTCTTCATTGCCTCCAGCTACATCACTGTCATGTCAAACAACAGCGCTGGATGCAGGAAGAGTGACAGCCTATTTGCTTATAATATGTGTTTCTACACAGATTTTTTTTTGCCAAGAACTTGTAATTATAGCTGCCAAATAATCGCAGTTGATTAGAGATGTAAAGTAGCACAAAATGAAAATACCCAAGTCAAGTACTTAAAGTGTTCCATATTGTACTCAAATGTAGTACTTGAGTAAATATCCTGGTTAAATTTACATGGACTCTTGTTAATTAGTAAGCCAGATAGAAATGCAAATCTCAGTTCAGTTCAGGACAAATGGGTCCCAGCGACATGAAACCCTTAATGGAGCCTCATTCCCATTTAACTATGGAACCTATGATCCCCTCTCACAAAGGGCTTAGCAATACAGTGTGATTATTTGCAAGTATCAGGAATGCAGTAAGAAGATTTGGCTACTAGGAGAGTTTCAGTCTGTGGCATAATCGGTCCCCTCCTGAAGTTAATGTTCTTGATTCGAGCTGTGATCCTTCATGTTTATGCATTTCCTCCATGTGCACCATGTGCCTGACCTGTAAGTCATTAACAAATTATTAGGCAGTTAACCTTAAAAACATCTATTTTCAGGATAAGT